TGGGTAGTGGTAATTAGGTTTAGTTTACTTAAGTTTTTTTTTTTGATGGAGGCACTGGGGATTGCACTTAGGACCTCCTGCACACTAAACCGGCGCTCCACCACTGAGCTATACCCTACCCCCACAACAGATTTTCAGAAAAGGAATTCGTGTGCTCCAGTCTCAGGCTGGAAAAACCACTGACCCAAATCATTCCAGAGGCTGTAAGAAGGGAGTGGATCCTCTCCAGGGTGTAACCCAGTCCTGCCCTTTCTCCCTTTCTCTCCAGCTACATTCCAGTCCAACCACTCACAGAGACGGAGGAGGCAGTGGGCGAGCAGTGTGAGAGTAACCCAGCTGTCTTCTCAGAATTTCAGGCAGAGGACTAGTTCTCTGTCTAGTGTCTGTTTACCCACATTTTCCATGAGCTACCACCATATGAAGGCTTTGGCTAGGACTCATGACTGTTCTCTGCAAAGGACTCTAAAGAAGACATTTTCATCATATCATTATGTCTGCTAGAAAAGCATCAGAAAGTCATGAAATAGAACTGGCCCTTAACCAGCCCAAAGACAGGAATCTGGATTTTTAGTTTTGCTAGCGCCGAAGCAGGATCTCGGTTTAGAAACTTCAAGATTCAGACCTCTCTACCCACAACAGAGAAAAACATTTTTTTCCCTATATTTTTATCTTTACCAGGATGCACAGTAAAAAAGAGATTATATTGCGCCCCACTATACGCATATAAAACTGAAACAAGTTTAATAAGATAATACTTTGTAAGGTACGTGCAGTGCACTCTATCTTTATTTAAATCTATCCTAACTCATTAGAAACACCGGTTGTGACCCACAAATTTGATTTTTGACCCATGAATGGGTTGCAGACTGCGGCAGTCTCAAGGACTGGGGAAAGCAAGGGAGCAGCTGTGATTGTGCTGAACCCCTGGAGGCGGGCGGGGGATGTTGGCCAGAGTTTCCTTCCCCAAGCTGAAGGAAGTGGTCCTTTCTCGAAGCCAAAACCATCGGGTTTGGGCCGGTTTTGCCACAGTTTTTCTATAGTAGTGGGAAGACTTCTTATCTGTCTTTGCGCTTTAGTTTCTCCACTGTTACATGGAGGAGAAGATGCTTTCTGTTAGGATTAGTGGGCATTTTCTGAGGGAGTGGAAACAGGATGGACACAGAGGAGGACTCGGGAAAGTTAGTTCAGTAGTTAAAAAAAGAACACGAAGGTTTTGCACGTGGGATTAACAGGACTGTTGAGCAGGAGAACAGGATGCTACGTCCCGCACCGTGGCAGTGCCTCTCTGCTGTGGTACCGATTCTTTAATCCTGACCGTTTGGCTACAATGTCCTGATAAGAACCCCAACAGAGCCCAGATCCAAGAGTTCACTTACCTCCTCGTTGACCAGTGACCCCTAGGGGTGTCCAGTCTGTACCAAAGGAAGCAGAAAAGGTATGTGAATGACTGTAGCGCCACACCCCAGAAAGCTTTTAGGAGAGGAACCAGAGAATGATGCAAAAATGGTTGTACTCTATCTTTCTGTGTTTTATTTCTCTTTTAGCTCAGTATAAAACTACTCGGACCGTTAGTGCCCCACCCAAACATGGAAGCACTCAAAGACGGCAGATTCTTGAGCATAAAGGTGTGCTCTGCTGCGCCCTCACTCCCGAGATGCCCTCGCCTCCCAACCAGAAGGGGTGGAGTCCTGAGCCACCCCCAGGCCAGCAGCCTTTCTGATGTGCCCCGTCCTTCTCCCCACGCCCTTGCCACCCCTCCAGCTACACTACTGCACAAAGCCAAAGAACTATTTTCTCACAGTCTGTATTTGGCAGAATGAGGTGAAAAAAAAAAAAAAACAACAGGATTTCTTTTAAGCCCAAGTTTCACTTTCTGTGGCCAATCGTCTAGCTAGATTCTGTGAAATCCATGAAGATCATTTTCTTGTGCATGGAGGAGGCAACACGTTTTTGTGTGCATGTGGAAATGTTTGTGTGCAGTTGGGTGTTACTGTATAAATGCTAGTGTTTGTTAGCTGTTAAGTGTATATATCCTCACTGTTTCCCTGCACAGTTTAAATTTGACTTTAGGAGGTGGTCCTTACATGTTTATGTACGCATTTGTATAGATTAGTTTCTTTTTCCTTTGGTATTTGTTTCCTTGTGTAGTTATGTGTGTATCCCTCTTCGGGTTCATACGCTTTTGTGTGAATCTTAGCTTTACCTTCATTTCAGAACTCTCAGAATGCCTCTTCCCAAATCTGAGCTCATCGCTAACCACATCCCTGCCCTTTCTTCTTTGACACAAAATCTGTTCTCTTCTTTTTAATGGCAATTCTAGAACTCAACAGCAAGCATCTCTCCTCCCGTTCCCCTTTAAATGCCTTCTGTCCACCCTCTAACAGACACCTCCACCCACATCTATAGCTGAGGAGCTGACATTTTCGGGAGAAGAGAAAAAAGACGGGGACTCACCAGAGGGGATGATGAGTGCAGCGAGAAGCAGCAGCACTTTGGGTCCCAGAAGCAGCATGTCTAACAGGTGGGGCAGGGAGAGGGGGGAGTGGAGATTGCGTTGCTCAGCATTTCCAGGCAAGGAGATCTGTAGGGCCCCTGTCTGCGTCTTTGCAGGAACTTTCCTGGTCCCCCACAAGACTCAAACCCTCCTCTTTCCCCCAACATTTATTTCTCCATCAAATTCTGTTCTTTCATCAACTACTGTTATTTTCACTCTGATTACTTTTTTTTTTACCAAGTCAGAGGAAGTTTTTCACTCTACATGGTTCACGTTTGCCCCCACCCTGTGGCCTCTTTCACCCCTAGAGTCTAATCTTCTGTTTTGATATCTGTGGCTTTTTGATACCATCTGCTCATCTTCGTGTCTCCTCATTTGAATTCCATGGATAATTGGAATGTCTGTTCAGTTCTAAGTCAGTGACATTCCCCATTGTCCACTTCCAGCCCTTCAACACACACACACACACACAGACACACACACACACGCATTCCTTCTATTTTGTACAACTTACTGTTCACGGGTCTCTGCTCTTTCCACCCAGTCCTTTGGTTGCTGAATGTGTCTGTCTCGTTCTCACTCTGTTCCACTTTGGCTGGAGAGTAAGATGAACAGGGCCACTCCCTGGAAAGGACTTCGAATTTGGCCAACTCTGAAACAATGAGATGAGGGAGAGCGACGGGGGGAGAGAGAGAGAGAGAGAGAGGTGGGGAGAAAGCCAGGCCAGAGGAGTCTGATGCAGTGTTACAGTGAGGCTGGGGGAAGGGACGGGACTTTGCAGTCACTCACACCCTCATTCCAAAGGTTATGACCACATGGATGGGAAAGTCTGGTGCTCCCTTGAAGGGCTGGCTCCAGCTCGCATATGCCTTTCTTCCGCGAGCCTGTTTGCTCTCTCACAATCTAGCCCCAGCCTCCCTCTTGCCTTGGGTCCCTTCTTACCTAAATGGCAGTAAAACTCTCCACAGAATCCGCTTCTCCCTCTCTGGGCGTCTTCTGTATTGGAATCAATCCTCCATCACCCTTTCTCTCTTTGGCCTTTTAAAACATTCATCTCTTCTACACCAAAAATTTTCTTTGCATCCTTGTGTTTCTCCCTTTTTCTTTGCCTCACACTTTTTCTTTCTTTTTTCCCCCTGGGACCCTTATTTATTGCCACACCCAAGCAGACACAGACACCACATGAGTGTCCAAGAGGAGGCTGATTGTCTCAGGGTTAGGAAAAGTTGAGAAATACAGACCCCTTATCCTTCTGAATCGTGGAGGAACTCCGTGAGAGGCCAAGCCAGCCTTCTTTTGTCTTTTGGCTTTGTTTAAGCTTACGTTAAGAGTCTTGGCTTCTGGAATCTTAAGGACAAAATGCCATCAGAAGCTCAAACAAAACTGGGAACCAAGTTCATTCTGCTTGTTTTATTTTTGATCAGTAACTTTCCATCATATCATATAATATGTACATAACATTTTCTCTGATCCCGGAAAGTTATAAAACTTTGACTTTGCTCTTATTCATAGAAAACCTAGTGCTTAGACCATTAAAACATCTCCAGGTGGAATAATAAGGTCCTACTGTACAGCACAGGGAACTATATTCAACATCTTATAATAACCTATAATGGAAAAGAACATGAAAGAAAAACCATAGTATGTATATATAAACACACATATATAAACTGAGTCACTCTGTTGTACACCAGAAACTAACACAACATTGTAAATCAACTACACTTCAATTAAAAAAAAAACACGCGTCTCCACTTGGGAGGGAGTAAAGCTGAATTACCGAAACTCAAATCTGAAGAACGTTGACCTTCTGTGCACTATAACTACATACATTTCTCGTTATTTTGTTTAGTCTGTGTTGTGTATTTCCCTGACGAGCAAAATTAGAGAAGAGAACAGGTAGACAGAGCTGGTAGTATCTCAGGCTAGAAGAAAGACGAGAATAAATGATGGAAGGTGAGGAAGGAAGGAAGGAAGGAAGGGAGGGAGGGAGGCAGGGAGGGAGGAAGGGATATTAGCTGTCTTAAGGATGAGCTACGAACTTAGTCAGAAATAAGCAAATAGCACTTGGTTTTTCTTAGGGAGCTACTGTGCTCCCCCTCTGAGATACACAGGTTCGGGTCAGTCCCCAGAACTAATCTGAGTACAAACCCTAGCTCTTCCTGAGCTGCCTGGCCCAGAACTTGCTCTCTCCCCATCTGCTCCACAGTGAGAGCGCAGATGTGGCCCCCATCTGGGGAGAGTCAGGCAAAGAGAAGGCAGGGGCGGGGTGTAGGGGGAGCAACCAAAGCAGGCGCAGAGCAGAACAAAGGCAGGACCTGCAAAGGAGGAGAGCCTAGAGCCACAATCAGGTTTCCTGTGAAGCACAGACAGATGGAGAGACTGAACTCAGGCCAGTCACTTGGCGGGGGCAGCGATGACCTCAACGTGCTGGCGGGGCCAGAGGCTGTAGTTTAGGGAAAGCCTCCCCAGGCAGTGGGAGGGGGCGCTCTCCTGGGGTCTCTGGAGGGAGTCTGAAGTTAGGGCAGTGCAAACAGGAACAGAATGTTCAGATCAAGGCCGAGGGGGAAGGCAGGCAGCGAGCAGCACCTCGGACAGAATGGAGAAGGAACAAGGTGGCAACTGGCAGGAGAGCAGAAACCACCATATATTCTTGTTGGACATGCAAGAACGCAGTGAACTTGCAAGAGGTTTGGTTGATTTCTGTTCATGGCTGCTCTGGTGGCCCCTTCCAGCACAGTTCCCACCCCCAGCTTTGGAGGGCCTCTGGTTTATTTTTCCCGGGTGGTTTGGGCAGCCTCTGTTCTAGCACACATTTCATCACATGAGATCAAAGTCAGCACCCCCGGTCAGGAACGAGTAGCTGCCGTCCAGAGATGTGAGCCGCGCCTGTTCCGAGGCTCTCGCTGACCCCGGGGAAGGACTCCCTGGGCAGCAGTCCACACACTCATCCGTCACAGGCTGGATCTCCTGTGGGTCGAGGGGACAGTCTCCAGCCACAGGAGAGTCCTGCGTGCAACTGACTAGCACGTGCACAAGTGACTTACTGCAGGCCGTCGAACGTCTGAGATACCCAGGAAAAAGCAATGGAAGATGGGAAAGCACAAAGAAAGAGGGAGGCAGGCAGAGATGCAGACAGCAAGCTGGTTTATTCATCTGTTTATTGGCCCGCAAAGAATACACCCATTAGCTGAAGGCCTCTGGGCAAATGTACAGAAACGTTATTCCTACAGTCCAGTCCAACTAAACTAAATCCAGGGCCTAGACATGCAAGAATCCCATAAAAGGAAGGAAAGGAAGGGAGGAGGGTTATATGAGGGAGGGGGCTGGGGGGAGAGTGGTGTGTGTAGAGGAGTGAAGCAATCAAGTAGTAACAGCCAAACTTAAGAGATGGAGTCCGTGGAGGACTTAGGAGCCAGCAAATGGATGTCCTCACAGCGCTGGGGCCTGGGAAAGCGTCCCGCCTCTCAGTAACCCGCAGCCCTCCAGCACCCTGTTCTCCGTGCGCTCCGTGCAGTGTCCTTTGTTTCTTCCTTTCTGAGATATCCTTTTCCCCAAGTCTAGTAAATAAATGCTTGTACGTACATCAAAGCCCAGCTTACATGCTGCTCTTCCCAGAAGCCTTTCCCGGTCCCCTCTGCCTCTGGAGAGGTCATCATCCTCTCTACTGAGCTACCTCTCTGTGTCTTTTTATAATTTTGGCATCAGCTTAAGGATATCCCTTCTTTTACGTATCTGTGTTCCGGATTAGACCGAGAGGTCCTTGATTGCAGAGGCGAAGTCTCACTCATCTCTGGCCGACATCATGGTTAGCACAGACAGCAACTCAAAATTTGGTCATTTGGACTGAGTTGATTGAGATGAAGACTTGAAATGGGAACCTCCTATTTCAAGATAGAAACATTCAAATATGGAGTCAAATGCAAAGAAGTAGAGGATAAAGTTGTAGAGAAGAAAGGAGTTTGAGAGAAAATGGGAGCACCGCCAGCAGCATTTTGATTCAACACGAGAAGAACAGAGCTATAGGAAACAGGAACTGGGCAACAGTTACTCCAGAAATCAACTTTGGC